GTCTTTGTGAATCACACACAGTAATTGAGTGGGACTATGCAAATAAGATGTATGGAATCTGTGATGGTTGGGGTTATGTGTCAACTTGCCGTGATTCCCAGTTTTGTGTGGTTGTCCTTCATTTTGTGATTTAATGTAATTATCCTCCATTTTGTGATGTGTTGTGAATCCTAGCCTCTATGCTTGTGGTCGTGTTAATGAGGCAGAATTAGGGGTGTATTTTGAGTTACCACCTCACTAGAGGGTGTGACTCAAGTCACCACCCTTACCCTAGTCTCTACCCTTACTAAAGGTATGACTCAAGTCATCACCTTGTCAAGTAGTGGAGAGCTTTCTTGAGGATGTGGTCTGCATCAAATATATATGAATGCTCTGGGGAAGTTCTCTCTCTGTCCTGTGTGTGTGCGTGCACTCTGGATTCCGCATCCAGATCATGATCATCTGGCTTCCAGTTCTTAGAGCTTTAGCCAGCAGTCTGCCCTCTGAGTTGCTAATTCTGGGATTCACCAGCTTCCACAGCCCCTTGAGCCAGCAGCTTATCGTCTGACCTGCTGGTTTGGGTTGTCATCCCCTGCAGCCACATGGGTTGGGAGAAGCCTCCAGCCTGACATCTGACCCACGGATTTAGGACTTGCCAGCCTCCACAACTGTGTGAGCCATTTCCTTGAGATACAGTTCGTGAGTTCTGTGAGAGATTGCAGTGAATTACAGAACCCAAAGATGGGAGTGAGAGTACTGAGGGGAGGAGGAGGAGTTGATGTTATGGATGTTGAGTGGAACAGCAGTTTGGAAAAACTGGACATTTGGGACATCTTTAACCTCCACCTCATAGGAACTAGCTTTCTGCTGATCCTTATAAAAGAAATTATTCATTCATCATTTCATATACTGCAGGAGAGGAAGGTGCCCAAAATTGTTTCAGTCACATGTTCTATCATTTTTCTGTCATCTCCCTTCCTTCTCCTATCTCGTGCTTTTCTCTTCATCTTATCTCCTGATGCTCTGGCTATTTAAATGTCCACCAGAGCTTGTTGAAATCAGGCCTTAGCACATAAATTAGTATCCCTGCTACCTTCACTTTTAGCACCTGGTGTAACACCATCAGGGGCACCTATCAGACTCTAATACCATCAATGCTCCTACTACTTATGTACCTCTATGCCCCTCTGGCATTACACCGAGGATTTTCTGTACCTACCTTTGTTATAGTTGTCAATGTCAATGCCCTCTCTCAGACAGGTTAGAAATTCTTCTTCCCTTTCTACATTACTTGCAGAAATTCAACCCCCTCTTCACCTTCTGATGGGACTTACTCTGTTGCTTTTCTTCTTAGTCCGTAAGAGACTCAAAATGATGATAATCTCTGTGTCACATTTCCCATTCGCCACTTCAAGGCTCCCAGTGGGCTTTCTAACCTGAACACAAGGGGGCTGGGCATTCATCTAGGGCTCTTAGGAATGCTGTTAATGGTCAGACTTCCAGCCTGTTCCATGAGGAGATGGTCAGTTCAAAGAAGACCCTTAACTAGCAGGGTGTGTGACTATTTGCTTTGCCTCATTACCGGACTCAGGAAACAACCGCTAAAGTTGGGCAAAGTTCTTGAAGCCATTCATTTATGGACTTACCTTGTCCTGAGCTATTCCACAACTGTGAGATTTTTAAGTGACTCTATGTTTCTACTAGAAAAGATAAAAAGTTCTAGAGGGGCATCTAGGATTTCTACAAAGAGACATTAGTCTACTTGCCTTAACTTTTTTTCTCACTGCTGCGCAAACTGTGCATTCCATCCAACTCTAGGTTGTCTACCTTTGCTCACATTCTCCCCTCTCCCTCCCCTCCTCTCTCTTCTTTCCATATTTACTAACATATTCAGCCTCTGCTTTTATGTTCTCTTGGGAGATGTTGTTAGTTGCCATTAACTCAATTTTGACTCATGGCGACCCTATGGGTGCAGAGTAGAACTGCTCCATAGAGTTTTCAAGGCTGTGAACTTTCAGACGCAGATAGCCAAGCCCGTCTTCTGAGGTGCCCCTGAGTGGGTTCAAATCACCAACCTTATGGCTAGTTGTCAAGCACTGAACCATTTGTGCCACCCAGGGAGTTCCGTGTCATGGTGGAATTGAGTCTCTTATGTGAAGAGGTATTTATTCCCTGTAGAAATCTTAAGGAGTGGTGCTCCAAGTTTGTGCAATTGAGCTTTCTTATCTCCATACAGGAAAGTCTGTATTAATTGAGTGTAAGTTCTCCTGGGAAGGATTCTCCCAGGGCATACAATTTAATGTCATATAGTGTTATAAAACCAGTGCATGGAATCACTAAGTTGTATTTATGGAAACGTTTTTCTTTAACTAAAGAAGTGAAACGTGATTAAGTGGGATGAAAATCAAAGAGACAGAATCAATAGGTAAGGAGCTGAAGATTCTGTTTGTGCACTTGTTAGTGGGTTTACCGTTTATAGTTATTCTCACTGATAATTGGAGATGCTTATCCAGTGGTAATTCAGTGCTCAGGAATAAACAAGCACAGTCGACATATTTGGTTTTGAAGCTAGTCTGGGCAATAATTAGAGTTATGAATTGTTTACTTGAACTAATAATAAATTCATAGATGTTTGTAAGGGGCAGGGAGAGGAGGTGGTTTAGAAATATGGCCAATCATGTAGAAAGATAACATCCAGACCAGGGAGTGATTTGCCCAAGGTCCTACAGAAAGTTAGTCATGGAGCCAGTAGTCATGCCAGTGAATTAGCCAAGGCAGCATTAGGCTATTTTGTGTTAAAGGGAAAAGATGGAGTATTTAGATTGAGTTTTTTTTTTTTTTTTTTAATCCCTCATAAAGGTGGTAATTTAGGTTTGTTCCCTAACTCTATTTTATCTTCTGATAGTTTCTCTATTTTTCTTTTGGAAGAAAGGCGTGGTGATCTACTTCGGAAAAATCTTCATTGAAAACCCTATGGCGCACAGTTCTACTCTGACACACGTGGGGTCGCTATGAGTAGAAATTAGCTTGACAGCAACCGGTAGTACTGGTAAATTTCCTTACTTTAAAACATATTCCCTTTTTTTTTACATTTATTGCTGAATATATTCTTTCTTCTGTTAGAAATGGTACTTAAATGTTTTCTTCCTGCAGAGTCTATTTCACTGCCCATTTTAGGAGATTTTTTTTTGATCCTTCAAAATATAATTATTATGGTTACCCTAGATATTTGATTTTAATATATGACTCTGGTCATATTTAGTTAGGAGTAAGTCAACTTGCCTTCTATTCTCTGCCAATGTCCTAATGATATGAACTCAAGGTGACATTATATGTCTTCAGCTTGATGTGTTCTCCTGACTTTCTCTTGTCCCACCATGAAATTCTGCTTGTTCTCAAAGCATCATAGAAAGGCCAGCAGGCCTCCTTTCTCTTGCTAAGGTGTCATCCACTAACTTTTGACTTGAGTAAGTCAGCCTTCCTCCTTATGCTGTCCTTCTTCCTAGTGACACTGCCACCCAAGACATCCTGCGATTATGGCTGTTCCTCCTCCCTCCCTACTCAGAAGTAATCTTTCCCTCATTTAAATTTCTAAAGCACTTGTTATCACTCTGGTTTGCCTAAATCCCAGCCTGAGAAATAGACATCTTCTTCTACTTATATAGAGAAACCTTGAAGGTTCTAGGAGGGAGGGTGAGATTAGTCTGGCAGAGACGTGAGGTATGGACTGGAGGAGAAAGTACGAAACATGGAGAAGCCAGTTTGGAGAAAATGTAATAAGGGGGGGAGGCTTTGGGATGGGGGAAAGGAGAGGCAGTGACCTGGGGCAGTGGCAGTGGGTTAGATTTGCTGAGGACAGAGGGAGTCCAGATCTTAAAGGCATGTGGACCTTGGCAAAGAATAAGATGCTGGGAGCAGGGAGGAATTGATTTGGGAGACTGGGAGGGAGAAGGAAGGTGCCCTGCTCAGAGAGGGCTGGGAAGAGCAGCTGGGTTGGGAGGAAGATGGTCAGGTCTGCTTGGACTGGCTTGCCCAAAGAGACCAGGCAGAATGTCTGCCTCCTAAGTGCCTACCCACCACTATCCCATCCTCCCTTTATCCTATCCCTCATCTTCATGGAGGAGCAGCCCTACAGCCTATAGTTTTCTATGACCAAATCAGAGAAACACCCACATCAGAGCCAGAAGGAATATCGAAAGTTATGTTGCTGCTTCTAAATACACAGATGAGGAAGCCAAGTGCAGGGAGGAGAGGCAGAGACATATCTTGGAGGAGACAAAGAACCATTTAAGCTACATGATCAGAGTGACCCAAAATGATATTTTTTATAGGTCTAAAAGGCTACTTTCATACCATTATGGTCACAGAAATGGGCCATGGAGGACTGGTCCCTAAAGTTTACCATCCAGACAAATTTCCATATAATTGGTCAGGTCCAACCTGGCCAGAAATCAATATGCTTGAAGCCAATTCATTTATGTTCATCTAAGACAAGTGCATCTAAAAGTCAACCTTGAGTGTTCTCTGTCTGTTTGAGTGTATTCTTATTTTCCACCTTCAACAAAGTAACAAATGCATTTTGAACTTAGTTTGGTATTTATAATATATATTTATAAAAACTTGTTTTAATTTTGAACTGTTTGTCTTCTAATTTTTTGTTATTTGTCTACTTTGAAACAATTTTATTTTAAAATTCATATATAAATATACAATTGAATAGAACAGAGTGATGCGATCATTAATATATTGAACAGTGGATCTTAAATAATAAAATGTTTGTACATGTTTTAAGAATAGACTTAATTTTCAGCCTACATAGCAAACACATTGCCGGAGAAAACCTGCTATTATTTTGTACTTTTCATACAAGATTTCTGAGTCAGAATTCCTCAATTCTTCACATGTATTTGAAAGATGCATTATTCCAAGTTATTTGCCATTCTCCAAAATTACCAATCCAAATTTCTGTCAGGATGGGCTCATCATTACATCTGCCAAGAATTCCAGACCTGGATTCTCAGCTGTTGGATTGTGACTTCATAGTTTATATATTATGCTCATAAAAACAACATATGCTCCACTACTGACATGAAAAGGCAAAACCAAAGCTCTGTGGTTGAATTCATTCTCTTGGGATTTTCTAACTTTCCTGAACTCCAGAAGCTGATCTTTGGGGTTTTCTTGGTTATTTATCTGGTGACCTTGATGGGAAATGCCATCATTATTGTCATCATCTCCCTGGACCACAGCCTTCATGTCCCCATGTACCTATTCCTCCAGAACTTATCTGTGGTGGAAGTGAGTTTCAGTGCAGTCATTATGCCTGAAATTCTGGTGGTCCTCTCCACGGAGAAAGCGGCTATTTCTTTTACTGGTTGTTTTGCACAAATGTATTTCATTATTCTTTTTGGTGGGACCGAATGTTTTCTCCTGGGGGCAATGGCTTATGACCGATTTGCTGCAATCTGCCATCCTCTGAGCTACCCAATGATTATGAACAAAATGGTCTTTATGAAGTTAGTAATGTTCTCATGGATCTCATGGGTCATGGTGGCTACTGTACAAACCACATGGGTGTTTAGTTTCCCCTTTTGTGGTCCTAATGAAATTAATCATCTTTTCTGTGAAACCCCCCCAGTCCTAAAGCTTGCATGTGCAGACACCTTCTTGTTTGAAATTTATGCATTTACAGTCACCATTTTAATTATTATGGTCCCTTTCTTGCTGATACTTTTGTCCTACATTCGAATTCTCTTTGCCATCCTGAAGATGCCATCAACTACTGGGAGGCAAAAGGCCTTTTCCACCTGTGCCTCTCATCTCACATCTGTGACCCTCTTCTATGGCACAGCCAGTATGACTTATTTACAACCCAAATCCAGCTACTCTCCAGAAACCAAGAAACTAATGTCACTGGCTTACACACTGCTTACTCCTCTGCTGAATCCACTGATCTACAGTTCGCGAAACAGTGAGATGAAAAGAGCCTTGATGAAATTGTGGCGAAGAAAAGTGGTTTCACACACAGCCTGACTGTATTGAGAAGTCACGTGCTATTTGGTCACTGCCCAACTGCCCTTTATTTAAATTTAATAAATGATTAAAATAGATTATCTTTCTTGATAATGATTATGTTTAATTTGTTGAGTTCCTCAAGTTTGATAATATATTAGAGGTATCCCTCTCTTTCAGTGATGTACTCTTGTCATTTATTTTTCACAGATACATAATTTTCCATAACATGATGCAAGAATTTATTCATTCATTCCTCTCTTATGGACATTTAGGTTGTTACTACATCGTTGTCATTAAGACAGTGCTTCAATAAATATCCAGTCACATACATTTATATGTACTGATGCTTTTTAATTTTGTATGATAGATTTTTCAAGGTGGGACATATGGGACAAAGAGTATGTGTGCTTATAAATTTTAGTACATATTGCAGAATTTCTTTTCAAAATGATACTTCAGACCTAAAGATCTACTTGGCTCCAAATTGAGGATCAAGAGACCCACAAATAAAGACATGAGATTTTTACTTCTGGAGGGAAAAATCTGTTTCATAAATGAGTAAAAAAGTACAGCTAATTTTTGGGGTGACTAAACTGGTTTTAGTTCATGGGCTCACACAGATTATAATACAAAATTGTATTTCTCTGTGTATTGTGTCAAATATTCATCCAATGTTGGTGACTAGAGAGCAACATGGGAACTTTCCTGAAATCTCACTTGATAGTAATGCTGTCTTTTTAACTTATAGACTGCTGTTTTTGGAGACTTTTGTCAAGTTTCCCTTTGTAGGTCAAAAATGTCCCCAAACACTTTTTTAAACAATGTTGTTGTTGTTAGTGGCCGTTGAGTCAACAATGAGTGATTCTTTTCACTTTCAGGAAATGCGATTAACTCATTTTGCTTATTTTCTATAGTCCTTGAGTCACAATACTACTTGTGCAACCTTTCCCAGAAAGAATCATTTCACATCTTGCAACATGTGGAACATTTCATGTTTGCTTTCTATTTTAATATTGCTATTGGGTAGTGTAGAAGGATCCCTTTATTGAATCTATATCACAGGAGTGCCGACAGCTCACAATTTCTGCCCCAGGGATGGTAATAAAGGGGTTAAAACACTATT